CAGCGGTAAAAAAGGTGAAATACCAAGAACGAACTAAGTTTGATGACGGACACTATATATAGGCCTACCAGTTCTTTGGCGCTGGCAGCAGTTGAAACACGGTGTGACCGGAATTCCATTCCCTATTATATCCCCAATGCTCCCCAATGCCGACTAACCCTAACCTGTGTTAATGACATGGGACCCGTGCTTCCATTCCTAGATCTACCATTCCTGGCACACCCGTCGTGTTGAGTTGTATGTCGTGTCTATAAGAGGCGGAGGCACCCGACCAGCACTCTCTTTCCCAAAATCATTCAAAAGCAAACGTTTGACAAAGAAACATGTTTTTTGGGCGTTACTGACAATCAGGGGGGATGAGGTGGGGTTGGGTGTGGCCTGGGAGCTCCTTTTATCGTTATCTCTTTAACTTTATAAAGACACCTTGCCATTATATTATTACTTCCAAGTTCCAACGCGCCATGTAAGGTATCATGTCACTAATAACGATCTCTTCGTATTACATGTCACGAAAACACGTTGCAACTCCATAACGTAATCCTCGTGCCCATTTGTCATGATATTTGAAACCAAATTTGTAACTTTAACCCGGTAAAAGCAAACATACATTCCCCTACCATCCCGTGATTCCAAAGCCAGAAAACGAATTAAGGCAGATAATCTGAAGAGAGATCCCATGCGTCAACCTTAGATTCGCCACTTTCTGAAATCCGACAAATCTGACAAATAGAGAATAACCCTTACCATTTTTACTAAATGAAGGTTGGACTTTCTGTTATAGTCTCCAAAACCTGTTTTTCTGATGCCTTCAGAGTATGGCTTGCTGTAGATTTTCAGACTATATTCTCGCAAAAATAAATTGTCCACCAGCAAAGAATTCAGAAAACCAAGTTCACCATGCAGACATCATGCCACGGCTGTCTGATCTGGACAGGGCTCATATCATTGCCATTTCCACAGTTTTGTCTCAGGCGGGCATAAGTGGCAATTTCCAGACAGCACTCACTGTGATTGCAGGGATACCAGGTGAAAATTTGATTTGCGACCCGTACGGATATGAAGTCCTTTATACGCTTGTTCCGGCAGGACAACGCCGTCCCCATACTGCCAGGACAGTACGGGTGACCTGCAGCAGGCGCAGATCCAGACCCTAGGTGCCAGCGTTTAGACCATGAACAATATACTACCATTTATGCAGGGCAATTGTATGATAAAGTATATTTAAATGATAGACATATAAAATAAAATTTGGGGGCTTGTGTAGTATGAAAGTATATAGGCAGTCGGCTAATCGTTCCACACTTGGGCGAATAGAACGTTATTATTCGCCAAAGTTCGACATTCGGGATCATGGGGATGGAAGACATAGCCGTAGATCTAGAAATCTCTCCATACCCGTTTGATCCTTTGATAAGCTATTTGTCTGATTTGTCGGATTCCACAGAGTCTGAAAGTGAGGAATCTGAGGCTTTAAAATTACGGAATGGTTGGGGAATGTACCTTTGCTCATATCCATGTTCGATGTTTAGATGCAGAAAGCCCCAAGGTCCTGCAGAACTGGGACTCTTCTACACAAGCCGTTTATATTATAAAGGAGTGCTGACGATTTATAGGGTGACTACAACGTATTAAACAGTACATTTTGGTTGTAAGTGTACCAGATAGACGAAAAGCCTGTTGCTTCATATAAAATTTAGATTTGTTAAGTTTGCCAGTTATATATTTTATGCACATTACTATAACTGTATGTAAGAAAACAGGCCCGTAGCCAGCAACTTCAAAGGGGTGGTTCTTTTTCTAATAAAGTGGACCTTTTACAATGAAGCCTATGTGTACTTAAATAAAATTATAATAATAAAATTTATTAAGCACTAAAATGAGCACACGTTACATTTTACAGGCTCTCTACTCTAATCATAAAAACTTACAACAGTTATACAAATCTATACAAATACTTTTGGAATGATTACTGGGAAGCAGCACAGAATAAAACGACTATTGCTATTGATGGGTGTGTCGTTTTTGTACCCAAATGGACCTTTTCCTGGCAAAAAGGGCAGTTCTTTCGACCCCCCCCCCCTCCCCCGGCTACGGGCCCGGAAAACAACTTATAAATTTTAAAATTAAAATTCTTTAGCCACTCCAAAGGTGGCTTCCAGCACTTCCCCTACCTCCTCTCTCTCTCTCTCTGGTTCTCTGTTTATGTAACAAGCATTTACACCAAAGGGAAATCATTATATACATTCTTGATTTTGATCAGTGGAAAATGATCGATTTGATAGAGTAACTAAAACAAAAAATTGGTTATTATGTATCATGTCATGGTAAAAAAATTATTATTAAATAGGACAACTCAGAACAGAGCTTCCAGGGGACGTGTTTTAACACAGCTGCGCACCTGTTCCGTACCTTCCCATAACATAGTTCGATAATTGATGAAGCTTAAGTTTCTCACCTAAAGGTGCGAAACTCAAGCGTCTTCTTTTATCTATCTATCTATCTATCTATCTATCTATCTTGCCATATAGACGTGACAGATTCGACGTATGTTTTGGCCTTCCTGACATATTTTTCAGCCTTCCTGACAATTTTAGCAGCAGCTGCTGACAAAGTCTCACTGGGCACTAATAGTCTATAACTAGTTGGGTAAGAACTTGGATCGTTGCGGATGTTCTGCGTTTTAAGACCATCAGGAATATTCCTGTATGGCGTTTTCAGACAAAATGTTCCGTTTCCTTGAGGAGGCAAATACTTTGTGTTCCACTACTTCAACTTAGATATCTTGACCTATAGAAAAAAGTTACTCGTAACCTACTCATTGTGCAGATTTTTATGCCCTCACATTTTTTTCTTCACGACTAGTACATTCATTTTTCTTGTTTTGGTTTTGACATTCACAATGTAATTTCCTCTTTATCCTTTGTTATTTCATGGTCGAAACATTCATCACTTAACTCGTTTTATTCTCTCCCTCAACTTTGTTTTCCTCTGCCTTTCTGCTCTTTAGAGGGTTCCCAAAGATAAATATATCATAGATATATTTTCCTGAATTATGTTTGATTAAATTAATTTTGAACAAAAGCTCTTTGATTGTCATATCAAATAAGTGACAGTTTATTTCACTAATATTATAGACAACTGAGATATGCTACAGTTGATTCAAAATTAAATAGCCCATGACTTACGTAGTGGCCTGACTTCTCTGTGGACTGATTTTGTTTTAAATCATTCAACCATTCCAACGGATAACCCTGGATGTGTTTAATCAGAATTGCTTATTTATTTATTTATTTATTTATTTATTTATTTATTTAAGCCCATGCTGTCTAGAAAATAACTCTTGCAACGGTTTCACAAAATAAATAAATAAATAAATAAATAAATAAATAAATAAATAAATAAATAAATAAATTAAGTCAGTACTGGTGGCTAACATCTTTGTTACCATCGTTACATAATCACACGTGCGTATCTTACTCTATCAGAAACAGTTTTAGAGCACTCTCGTGGAAATCCTGGTCAACAAAGCCAGGTAACTGACTTAAGTTTTTTTTTTTTTTTTTTTTTTTTTTTTTGCAAAACCGATATCCATATGAACATCATGCCAGTGGCGCTGGTGGCGCAAAGTACGGTCATCCTGCATGACGTCTGTATTTGTAACTTTTAAATACAAATAGTTAAAGCACAGATAAACCGTCCAAAATTATGTTAAAGCTATTTAAAACATATATTTCTGATTTGTCACAGATAGACCTTGGTATGCAAAATCACACGTACGGGTCTCGTCATGACGGTCCGACATCGACTTACTTTAGCACTGCAGTGACGACGCACTTTTCGCGCTAGTCAACTTCAAGTAATTTATGTGTCCCTTTAAATTCATTCCTTTTGAAAGATAACGTTTGCTAGTACCCCTTAAATAAAAAAAAGTCACTTATTATTGTATTCTAAAAAAATCTGGTTTTAATGTTTAGCAAGTTATCTTATTTTTCTGCGAGTAAGAGTGCCCGATTAACTGCAAGTGTCTAGCTTGAAGTAACCAATCTAAAAAAAGAATACGAGTTTCTGCAAAGTACATGAAAACCACAGAGAACACTAGAACAACAACATTAAACACACAAACCCAATATAGAGGTGCATTTCACATGTTGAAGTGTCAAAAAATAGAATTGAATGAATTCAAAGTTGAATTCAATTTTTTAAATCATATATGTGTATAGAACAAAAATCCACGACTGTCTCAATTTAAATTCAAATTTTAATTTTTACTATGTCTTTTACATTACTCAATGAGTAACGTATGATCCAAAAAACGTACGGTAACGTACGTTCGGGGTCATTTAATTTTATTTTTATAACACGTTCCAATATATTTTGTAGTGCTTCATATGCAGTCTTGGTAAATTAGACATGACATCAGGACGTTATTATAAATATCAAAACAGTGTTTTCTTTTGCTGACCGAAAAATATGTGATTCCATGATAGTTTGACGTTTCTTATATAATATTTGGAGCATGAGGGGAAAATGATTTATTTAATGCTTATTTTACTGTCGGTAGGGTGTATTTTCCCGTTTATTTAATATTCAGTGACAAGCAAACTAAAGTAGCTCAAAGACAATGAATTGCTCTATACAGAAAATTATTACAATTTTTTACAAGGTTATACTTGTTGGAGATAAATCAAAGAACAAAATCCACTGATGATTGAATTTTCGAAGTGAGTAAAACGTTTCGTAGTTGAACGTTTTGCATTTGTGACAGTAACGCATTTTCCATTTTGGGAATAGAAGTTGAATTATTTTTTATTTATCATGGTTCCAGGAGAGTGAAACTTTGACCTTAACTTCTTCACATGGGACCCTAAAATAATCAGACACAGTTTGCAATCTGTGCACTAAAAATTTTAAGAGCATGCCTGTGACATCAACCGCACCCCTATATTGGGTTTGGGTGTAAACTCTATGCAACTTTAAGACACGGGACTTTGGAAGCTACCTTAATCTGATAAATATTCATCTTGTTTGTGTTCAATTTTCCTAGTATTCCCAACAACACTATCGTCTTGACTGACCTGATGAACAGAAGTTTTAGCTCTTTTGGTACCGAAGTTAATTTTGTGCACAATATCTTTTAACCCACTTAAGAATTTAGAGGCATTTTTGTCATGGCATTTTTCATCAGACTTCCCAGAGTGTAAAGTTTCTGTGGACGATAACAGATCCGAGGCAGGCGCCAAACTCGGTAAGTTTTTGTTTACTTGTTTACGGTTTGGTGAGTTTATAGTTCTACTGTGTCCATCATACATGGCTTTAAATTTTTGAAGGAAAACTGAAGCCTTAGCACTGTTGTCTTCCTCCTGGGCCCTCACATCGCCAGTGTGACGGATATCCTCTGGAGGTGACGACGCCGATCCTCTCTCAATCCCCGTTGGTGTAACACAGTGCGGTCTAACACTTAACACATCTCCAGTATCAGGAACACCCTTTGTGGACAACACCTCTGCACTTTCCCTCCTCATATCCAGTACAGGTTGCTCCTCGAGAAACAACAGGCTGGCGGAGGCAGAGGTATCGGAAACACGATCAAAAGGGCCATGTTTGAAATCTTTCACTGGCGTATCACAGAATTTGTCAATGACGGGAGGGCTGGGGGATCGCGTACGATCAGCAGTGGGTTCATAGGCGGGTACGTTCAATTCTTTACAGTTTTCTTTCTCCAACAGAGGAGCCTCTGAATCATCTATCGTCTGCTTTAAACTCTCGTCATAACATGCATCACTTGTTGGGTCAGCCTGTGGCATGTCTTCTTGGTCTAGGCCAGTGGATTTTTCATTATCTTCAACTGAGTTACTATGAGACGCCCCTGTATTAGGAATATGTGAACTTTTCACACCTGAATATGTCTTTAAATTGAATGTTTCACCATTTGAAGCAGAGAAGCCTCCTGCAGAGGTGAAAAGTGGCTTGAGTTCAACTACACACTTTGCGTTGAGCCTGCTATCCTGTTGTCTGACCTCTTTCCTTCCAGAAGAAGATTCTTCAACAGGGATATCCTTTCCGCTGCTCATTAAAATGTGTGCAGCATTTTCCTCTATTTGCACATGTCCTGTTTTTGAACTTATTTTATTTTTAGTATGCAGGATGGGGTCTGTCTGACAAGAAAAATCACATCTGTTTGTTTTTTTAATTTCTACATCCCTAGTCAAATAATCAGAAACATCCTGCATCTCTTTGTTTTCCATTTTTATTGGAGATCCTTCTGTTGTTATAGAGTTACTTGCTGACTTAGATATTTCACTACAGTTCTGCTCCTGATCCAGCTTGGATTCTGCTATAGAACATGAACTAGCTTTATCTTTGGGGACATCATTTCTAAGAGGGCTTGACTTTGTGATCTCCTCCTTAATTTCCACTTTGACGGGAGATGTTTGTATGTCACTTGTGTTGTCCACTTTTCTGTGCTCTGGAAAGGTAAGGGTTTCATTTTGCACCATTTCTAAAGTTTCTGGGGCATCATCAGTATCCTCTCCCTCCACATTGTGAGATTTGCTGCTCCCTTTCAATTCCACTTCTTTTTTCCTTCTTGTCCTCCTTTTCTTTGGTTTAGGCTGGCTTTCCCCTTGTGAGTTCCCCATAAACTGGTGGAAGGGATAATAGCCAGGGTGAAACCCCTGAAACTGGTGCATGTAAGGTGGTGCCACCTGTGAATAGACCACAGTACTACTGCCTGAGGTGGAGACCGGGTAAGGCTGCAGGTACCGGGCGCCAGAATGGTGGTGCTCCATTATCATCCCTGGGTGGGGCTGTGGCATGGGAGTGCTGCATCCTTGTGAAACCATCATCTCCGAGGAACCAGGCACTTGCTGGTTTACACCTGGGGGGCCACTGTTCCCACTCACCTGTGGGTGAGTGCTATTCCCAGGGGGGACCGTGCTATTCCCTGGGGGTTCTGGCACTTGGCCCTGAGACATGGCTGCCAGAGCCTGGCTGTAAGCCATTCGGGAGTTCATCATACCAGGTTGCATCATACGAAACAACTCTGGGTTCTTACTGGCTATAGCACTGGCTATGGCATACCCCTGTCTGTAGGCTGGGTGAGACTGCATGGACTTGGGGAAGGCCTTCACTGGACTGCTAGATGTGGCTGGATCAGTGGCAGTAGTGGTTGGGGCAGTGCTGCAGTCACCCTTCAACGGCACCTGGATGGGCGTCTGGCCTTCACTGCGGTTTTGATCTGTGTTTTGATGATGCTCTACACTTTGGACTTTGGCTGGTGTCAAGGTTGGAGAAAAGCTAGAAGTTTCAGCAGTTTTGCGACTGGTGTATTTCTCTACTGTTATTGGCACTTCAGGGGGAGCACTGCACAAGGACACCTTGTTAACAGTGACAGCCGCCTCCTCCTCCTCTGCAACTATATGTGGCAGCACTGTGGGATACAGAGGCAGAGCAGCATCAGCGCTTGTTGGAGTTATGGGAGATAATCTCATGCTATCGGCCAGAGAGGAGGGAATGTCTAGCTTCTTGTCTGTGGAACCCACAGGGTCTGTAGTGATTCCACTCTCCTGTGCTGACACCCGTGGTATGGTTGCTGAGTTAGTGGTGTGGAATGCCCCTGGACTGGCTGATGTGGTCACTGGGCTGGACTGGGCAGTGCTCTGGACAACTCCTGGAACTCCCCTAGAGACCGCAGAGGTGGCTGAGACCGAACCTGGCAGCGTAGTGGTCTGAGGAAAACTGGACATACCACCGGGAAACGGTACCATGGCCTGGACTGCGCTGGTCCCCATCCCAGGTCTCATGTGGTACATCCCTCCTGGCAATCCAGGCATACCAGCATAAGGATACATCATCATACGGGGTGGGATCCCTGCAAGGTGTCCTGCCATATGAGGATACATCATGGGGGGCATTGGCACCAATCCTGCAGGGCTCTGGGTTACAGACGGAGTGCTGGCAGTGCTGCTGGGGGAAGACACAGCTGAAAGGAATCAATATAAGTAGCCTGTACTTAAAGGAAAGAAAGAAAGATGACTTTGGCTCATTCAGAATAGGCGACTAAATAGTCCAAGGGTCAAACATGGCAACCCACTACCAAGCTTGCTGTCTTATCTGCTAATAAGACACTGAATAGATCTCCCTTGGGGAAGTATTCGAAATAGATATCCCATGGGGTAGTATTGATGTGAGACCCTCGGACTAGTTAGTCCCTTACTCTGAATGGGGCCTACGATAATCAAAAGGGCATTTAACAATTTTGTGTTTGTATGATACAGTGAAAAATTTTTGGGGTAAGCTGAGTCACTGTGGAGGTGATATTGTCACGACCTTAAACGTAAATTGAGACATTGTTTTTTATTTATTTTTGGATGCAGTTACAGAAAAGAAGAAAATTCTGCGTCATTGAAACTAAGCAGCATGATCATGGTATTANCCCCCCCCCCCCCCCCCCCCCCCCAATGTCCCCCATCTACAATACTACCAAGCCTACATCTACACAAGTGATGTCTGTGATTACAATCTTTATGGCACAATATATCACAGCACAGTAATATAAGTGAATGGCAACCAATTCACCTAGAGCTAGGAAAGACAGTGACACAAGAAGAGCCAGCAAATCACACCAGAGCACACAAATCATTGATCATACCACCTTCGTAATCCCTGGCGTTTATCTCCGACTGAATGTCCGACTGGCGTAAGAGAATCTTGAGGCAGTCATTAGGCGGCCGTTTTGCGGCAAGATGGAAGGCGTTCTGTCCATGGCGGTTCGGTAAGGCTGTGGTGGCGCCATGCTGCAGGAGTTTCACCACTAGCTGCCATTGCTGGGTGATCACAGCCAAGTGAAGGGGAGTCTGAAAACACACAGTTATTCAGTATTTATAATTGAAGAATATGGTCGCACTCAGAACAGGAGACTAACTAGTGAAAGGTGTCAGTAGAAACTTATAAACATCAACACATCTAGATACCATGTACCTTGGTGATAAAGAGCAAACTGTTGAAATTTTCAAGAAAATTACATACATGTTCATCTCTAGGAATAGAGAGGTCTAAAGCTCACTACTAGTCTTGTAATTGAAAAAAGTCCAGTAGCTTACCTGTCGCAGTTTATTATACACATCCACTGACACATTGGACATCTTCATGAGTTGAATTAACTTCTCCACAGCTTCTGCCTCCTCCTGTACCACTGCGATGTGAAGAGGCCTGGAAAAATCGTAGGTAGAGGTTATTCAGCCCATTCAGAATAGAGGATCCTGGATCTTCTGATCCACGGATCAAATATGGCAGACCCTTCATGAAAGAAGAGCCGTCACAATTTAGCCGACATTTTCAAACTATGAAACATGCAGTTTTGTCTCTTTAAAAACAATTTACCCTACTATTTAAGTTAACTGTTCAGGATTCTTGGAACTTTGAATATTGGAAAAGTCACACAAGTTTTGAATGTCTCTCTAATTTTTACTTGAGTGCTACATCCTTTACCTCATTTACTTTTACCATGATACTCCTTTGACATTATTTGCCCAATAGTAGTGGTTCAGAAAAATTAACATTTTAAGGTAAATCTAGCAATATTTTGCAAAACTAAATGATCATCTACGTCACTAATAAGATCGCCGTGGGGTATATGAGCTCCTGCTGACAACAGTGACACAAAAGACATGATCATCAGAAGCACATAACAGGACATGTCACTTTCCATGAAATTAAACTGCCTTCCAGCCCTTCAGGAAGCTACTGCATGTTTATAGGATATTCCAATTTCCATTTTCCTGCTTTGAATATCCAAGATGTAACAAAAAGATTACACAGAGAGTAAGGACATGATACTCTATCAGACTCTGATCAGTCTTGATTTAAACAGGCCTGTATTACTCCACTGAAGCATAGTAATAGTGCTAGCTAAATATTTGCCCTATATAGGCACATAAAATGGCACATTGAAATTTTAATTTTGTGTCCTCTTACAAGTCCCCATCCTCATCCTTTCTGAGAGCCATCTGACATTCTGCAAGCATAATCAAGCTCTGCTGTGGATCAACCGCCATGACAGTTGCGCTGGTGGCTGTGTTGTATATGGCAGGCTGTAGGCTGGGGGCAGTGGTAATGGCTGGCACACTCGCGGAAGCACTGCTGAGTGGAGCTGAAAAGGTTCAAACACAATTGTCAATGAGGTAAAAAAAACTTTTTAGAAAAATTTTTTAGCAATTAGGCATGACAAAAACCTTCATCAGATGACCGACTTGTTTTATGCAGGCTCCAAATGTTGTCATCATTTTGCAGTTTTTTATTATACAAGAAACAATGAAAAACCTATTTTCATCGCCACTGCCATTATTCCACTTATCAGCTACAAGTGTAAATGTAAAAACATCATAAAAAGAGAAAAAAAAAGTATATAGAGAGGTAAAGGGCAATAAATTTATTAAAACCAAAAAGGTTTAAAAACTAAATCTTTAAAAGTCAAAATTAACTTTGGCAGTGACCATAGGATTTTTTCTGAATCTGAAAGTTATCACATTGTAGGTACAACTCAGGGAACATTTTAATCAGAGCGACATTATGGTCATTGTAGTTGCTGTAACTTAATCTCTTTTTAATTCGTTTTGAACCCAGAAAGCTTCAGACATATGAGCACTTGTACAGCAGAAATTGCCCCCATTGGATAGTATTCATTTCAGATTAGTTTTAGTCCAAATGGGGGCTAAAACATTCCTTTCATCTTGGGTTAGGACAAACTTAGATCCAAGAACTTGCAGATGTCACCCTTTCAATGCTTCTTAAATTTTACCAGTTGTACAACATGACATTCTTTTGAAATGACAAACACTGTACGTTTTTAATTTGTCTTATCTTATTCAGTCATTCATTTATTTATTTCACTATAACTTCTTTATTTTATTTTCATTTCATCACTTAATTATTTATTTATTTATTTCACTGTATGTTTTTTGTTTTATTTCCATGTATAATCATTCCATCATTAATATATTTGTTAGTTTTCTTTCAAAACTACACTTTCAATTTTTTCCATGTACAAGCCCTGAAGGGGGTTAATCAAAATCATGAAGTCCCCACTATGTACTGACCTTTACCTATCATGGCACCACCGATAAGGTCAGCTTATCTTGCAGGACGTCTAATGTTCAATATCGCACTTTTATTGATAACATGCTATCAGGCTACAATTGATCTGTTTAAATGTTAACAGGGCCATACTAATATATAGGTCACGGCTTTGTAAGTGCCCTTGAGATATCTACACTGTATTCTAAAGTACTTTACAACATTTTCTACCTGAACTAGATGTATAAAAATATAAAAATAACAGATCCTGGGCAAGAGCATTAAATGGTACAGATAAAGAGGATTTCTTCTTAACTGTTCATGTTTATCATTAATATTTATTTATTTATTTTTATTCAAATTTATTGGTCATCATTCACTTTTTCTACAACGTTGTTAATTACCATAAGTATCTTGCATATTTCTTTAGGGTTGAACAATCACCAAGCTCAAACAAATAAATGACAGTGACTCAAGTGTTCAAAAATCTATTAAAAAAAAAAATTATATGTAATTCAATTAGTAACAACATCCGTCATTTTTCCCCACATACTCTATGAATTTAACCCCAGTACCCTTGAAATGCCCTCAAGTTACAGTTTTACTTCCGTCTTTTGGGTCCACACATCTAACATACGAGAGAGATGGAAAAGAACAGAGCAGGGACAAAGGGGCCAACATTCCATTGATCCATTCTTAAGAATTCAATTCATATGATCCCGTTCAACTAGTTTTCATACACACGCATACACACATCAGATCCTGGTGACCTAGTTCTGCTTGAATAATGACAAACAATTCTGTTCACAAGGTTTGGAAAAACACCATTCACTATGCCTGTCATGAGCTATAAATAGATAGAGTGTGCTGGTAAAGGTTGACGGTTTTGGTTGTGTGGAAATTGTGAGGCAGAGAGGATAGGGGCGGAAAGTGAAATATGTTTCAACATTTCTTACACAATTGCAGTTTTGCTGCTAGGCTTGACACAAATCATGAACTATACTGCAATTCAACATGCACAAGTTAATACACTTGTACATCATAGGGTTAACTAAGAAGGGGGGGGGTTCTTATATGCTAGGTCTATTAGTATAAAATTACAGTAATGGCCCAATCGTTTCAACAAGGAAAATGTTAATTTTACAGATACCGCATTTTTCATTGAGTGGTAGCAACACAGTTGAAAAGCAGACTACTTAATAGCTCTATGTAATACAGTAAAAGCACCAAAATGCTTCATAGCAATGCATTTTTAATGGTTCCAAAATTATGTATCTAAAAAATTGATAATTTTTCTTGGTTGAAATGATGTAGCCAATACTGTAGTTAAATATATAATCTAAATCTACCATTGAGACCAAGGCAAGGGCAGGCATGATTTCTTAATCCATTTTGCCTGTTTTACTGATAGCAATGATGCTTCTGCAATTCCATATATCCGGTTTCATTTTATTGTACTAGTAAACATGAGCTGCTCAGAAAAGCATACTCATAGCAGGTCTATAGCCAGCAATTTGTTATACTGAATATATTAACCTTTTTAACCCCCTTAACTAGAGAAACAGCATAGAACCTAGATCGTAACCCACTTCGGACTTCATCTAGGAAATCCTTACTAACTAAGAGGGGCTTGACAGCCACTGCTGCAGCTCACTTTGACTGCAAAAAAAAAAAAAAAAAAAAAAACTTTTATCTCTGTCAGATCTGCTTAAAACAAAGGAAGTCTAGAATTATGACACACCTCATTAGAAAGACTTCCACAGTTATGAAATTACTTGTTAATTGTTTTCAATGTGGTTTAAGTTGAATAAATTTGGTTAATGAGAAGAGGAAGGAATTAAAGTAATCATCTGCTAATCTCATGGGCTATAGGCAGAAGAAGACTTAAAGGGCAAATAAAATAAATCTGAAACTGAAAATTTTCTAACATGTTATCATTTTTATAATAACAACAACAACAATAATTATTATTATAATAATAATAAACATACCTTTAACATATTTAATCAGACTATCATTCTTAAACAAAATATTTAAACATATATACGAAATGCAAAAACAGATGCATACTCTTCTCAGGACTGCTCTGTGCAACTTTCATCTGGTTTGCATCTGTTTCTGCGTTCTCTGCAATAAATCTCCGTTTCTTCGGCGGCAGTCTTATATTCGTCATAAAACTTGGTGTCCCCCTTCCGCTGGTCTCACTGCCAATGCTGCTGATTATGGCAGTGTCCACACTTGAGGGATTACTGGCCGGAGAGGACACTGCACTGTCCACCGTATGTGGGTGGTCGGGGGACTTAACACCACCCTCTGTTAAGGACTGCTGTTTAGGGGCTGCTGGACGTGGCCCAAGTCTTAATTCTAAGGCTGACAGGACTGAGGGCCCCACGGGGGGCTGGTTCGATATTAACATGGTGCCATTAGAAGCAGTGTTCGTTTTACTTGTCCTTCTCCCCCTCCCCGCGCCCCTTTTACCACCTGAACCGCCCCCTCGCGGCTTTTTTGATGGGGCAGCAGTAATTTCAAAATCCTCCGTGCTTCTTGAATGGCGGCCACGTCCAGCTCGAGAGGAACGCCGAGTGGTTGACTTATCGGGAGATGTTGCGCTTGGAGGAGTGGCTGCACTAGTTCCACATGTGATATTTAAGGACTCCGAACCTTGAACCAAGGCGTTCGGACGGGTTTGGAACCCATTCTCAGCACTCTGTATTCCGTTTAAATCATTCGTAAAGTTCCTGTCGCTATTTCTCCCGGCTGTCGCCAAAGAAGACAGTATCAGCGCAGCCTCTATATCGGAGGCAGTATCGTCCCTTTTGGATCGTTTTCGTGCCGCCATTAATGTCAATAATTCTAGTTTTGGATCGCGCAATATAAATGTCTTGTTCAATTTAGTCGATTTCCGTTCATTCTCAGATCAGCTGGGTATGTAATAATCTGCATTAAAGAGCACATGTCCCGTTCACGCCCCCTCATGTGTCCTAGCCGCTGATGCCATGTTAAAACCTGGTAAAACCCCAAAAACTATCGTTGGTCAAATGACCTCATTTCGTTTCAGGCACAGCTCGTTGCTCGGGAAAGTCCCACTTGTCATGTGATTAAATTGACCAATCGGTGCGCATGTTTACCAAGGTGATATCATCGGGGATTCCCCGAATAGCATACTGGGATTTTCCCGAAAAGTATTTTCCTAAGAAAATGTCATACGTGTAGGAATGGTTTTATGTCCGCATATATAGTGCTTACTCTCTGTTTTTATCAACCGGAATGAAAAACTTGTATATTTCTTACATAATCAATCCAATAATAGTCTTTAAGTACTCAGTAAATAAATAAATAAATGCAATAGAAAAAAATTGTTAATAATTTTATGTTTCATGAAATTTCAATTCCGCAATGTTGGAAAAATACTGAATAATTGTCCGATTATCCCATTGTCTATTCATTGGCAGGGGCAGGGATGGTGGTTGGGTAGGTCAATGGGAGTAAGGGGGTAAAAAGCTCGTTTCCACCTTGCCATGCTAAACCGTAAAATAAGGCCTTATCCACCCTGTGTTAGAAAGTTTTTAGGCCAGCTGTGACGTCGCCTACAAATTATGTGCGTAGATCTAATTGGTGGAAGTTGCTACATGGCTAGAATAAAAATATTAGATTTAATTCTATCAAGCTGGTGCGAGAACCAATGCAAAACGACTTCTAAAATTGCGAATGATATACAGTAACTGTATACTGCAAGGTGCGATGCAAGGTATACGGTTTTGACAGGACCTTAATTTGTATCAGTCTTTGGCCTTACGCAGGTATTAAGGCCTCAGTCCAACATGTTCCCACTCACGAGGCTTTAAATTTGACGTCACCTGCAAGCTTAAACATTAATTCTACTCGTCCAAGAAAATAAGAACGAGAGCTTGCTCTCCACCCTTATTTTGTTTATAGAAGTGCAACATCTTCAGTAAGCAAAAGAAGTCAACATCTAGTTATCTAGCTGCAAAAAGCCTATTGAAAGCTTTTCTAACTTTTAATTTTAAATCAATAATTAATATTAAAATAGTAATTCCTTTCTATCTGGCAAGTTGAAGACATTGTTCCATACGCTCCACAGCTACTATTATTTTCTTTTAAAAGAATTGTTACCTTAGTGAAAAACTTTATTTTCTGTTTCATTCCAATTTTGTCAAATCCGCGTGGCAGTGGCCTAAAAATTGACATGATACGTCAAGATATATATCGCCGTAGAGGCAAATAATAGCAGGTTGTCTGTTCTTTATTATTATTATTATTATTATTGTTATTATTTAACACCTTTCAAACTGCTGCAGATCTTTTTTAATTTTTATCTCTCTATATGTTTCAAATAAATAGAAATAATATACGAGGAAAAATATCGTGGGAGGAAAAATACAAGTGGAGATGCCGGGGATCGAACCCGGGGCCTCACACATGCAAAGCGTGCGCTCTACCACTGAGCTACATCCCCTACTTGAGCATTTTTGTTGAAAACATAATATAAGTAAATAATGTATGTGAAATATGTAGGTCCTCCTTTTCATTATTTCATATTCAGTGCAAATTTACATATTGGTCAAAGAGAGGGTTATTTGTTTTCATTGTTCATGGACCTTCGTATTTCCAAGATCGATTACATGCGGGTTTCGATGTTTTCGTCATGATTTGGTTAAAGCTTTTGCCTAGAGTGCGCATGCGTAATCGTTGGTATCCTCAACGTGAACCAGTGAGCTCTTTAGGAGATCTATTACCTAATTTCTCTTTATTAAAATATCAGTATTAGTGTATTTTAGACCATACATCTAACTCTTTTTTAACACGAGTTTTTTTTTATAGATTTTGGAATCGAAATGCGGCATGCATATTACAGATTTTACAGCGTACATCTCATCAAGTAACGATTAATTTACACCTTGCATTAATTTTTATTAAAAATAGCATGTCGAAATCATTACTGATGTAGCTGATGCAACATTTTTACAGTTAACATAACACTTAATTAACACAGAAAAAATGCCAGTCGCTTAATTATTATTATTTTATTTATTTATTATTATTATTATTATTTATTTATTTATTTATTTATTTTTTTTTTTGACGTTGGTTTTCACTTCATTTCATGTTTGTAAATGTTTTTACCTCTTTTACTGAGAGATGTCCTCTCCAAGTGAAAATTTCCTTGAAAAAATGCCGACTTTTTTTACTCGCGATTCATTGCTCCACCTGGACTTAGATGCTTAGTTAAATATAATTAAGTTATTGAGTAAATGTTTCTCAAAGCCTTTACATTACCTTTCCAGAAGGACATTAATAACTTTAATTTTTTTTTTAATGCTTAGGTATGAATTTTTAAAGATGATAAGCTCTGACAAAGAAATATGGCTTTGGTCAGTTTAAAATAACAGAGAGTATTCTTTGTAGGATCGAGGATCAGTTAAAAATAACAGATAGTATACTCCTTAAAGAATCCGAGGACAATAAGTAGACTTAATTATTCATTAATAATATTACAGTGCCAGCAACATATACTCAGTCCAGAAGCCACTTGAATGTTAACGAAAAATTGCAAATACTTAAGTAAGTTCAAATTTTCAGAAAAATTCTTCATAAATAAACAAGGC